CTCGAATTTCAGCGTTCTTTATATGTACGGAACCCTTGTGACATATATTATAAATTGGTTAAGATTATTTACTCAAAATAATCTTCCATAAAAAATCATTTATGACGCTTATTGTCTCTAAATTGTCTAACCCGAATCTGTGGGTGTTACATGATTGGACCCGATATGATTATATGGTATATGGTGAGAATGTAGTGATTTGTGCATCAATCAATATGACTAGGGTATTCAAACCCGATGGTTGATTGGACCCGACATGTTTGGTATTCCAACCTGATGGTTAATTGGACCAACACGCTTATGATACGAGGGTATTCCATCACAAGGATGACTAGAGCCATTGTAGACATGCATGGTATTCCAACCCAATGCTGATTGGGCCAAACATGAGTATTTGAGGATGCTTGTTTGTATATGTTATTTTTTTGTATGGTGGTATTTTTAGGGAGCTCACTAAGCTACGTGCTTTCAGTTTTGGTTTATGGTTTCAGATACTTCAGTGGACCGTGGCAAGGCGAATGCATAACCGTACACATCCTTGGTTTTCGACTGATTTAATCTTGGGAGACTCTGATTTTAAATAATGTTTCGAAAACAATAATTTTGTAACACTACGATTAGAAAAACGGTTGTTTTGAAAATTTTTAAATTTGTTGAATTTTTGAAATGTTACATCTTAAACCATAATAACAATGCATTTTAGTTGATGTGACTATTTGGGCCGATAAGCTACAATAGCAATAGGGTACCATGTCTAATTTTTCTTGTCTTAACATAATAATGAATTTTATTTTCTTTTTGAGCTTTTTAATGAAAAAAAAAACATCTATTAAAAAATAAAAAGCTCTTTTTATTATGGAGTACCCTAGCATAAAAATGACATCTACATTTTATTTTATCTAATCTCATTCTCATTAGATTTATATATTATTTTTTATTTATTAGATCAATAAGAAATTGATAATTTATATATGAAAAGAAAACATGAAAATGATGATCGTCTTACTTTGTTAGACCGAATAGGTATACTTATTACTCACTATTCACGTTGTATATAGTATCAACTTTCAACCCACTCACCTTTATACAAATACTATACTTTATTTTTAGGGAATTAAAAACCCTAATATATTTTTTATATTTTTTCTCTCTGTGTGTGTGTATATATATATATATATATATATATATATATATATATATATATATATATATATATATATATATATATAAATAAAAAAAGAAATAGAAATTACAATTAAAGTCAGCAGCCAATGTAATAACGAGAGAGAGGAAGCAGAGAAAATACCACTCACCTCTAAACCGCACCTTGTGTATGGTATTCCTAGACGTTGTTCGCTATCTTTCACCTTTTTCCAGCTCCACTCTTTCCGGATTTACTGTGAGAGTCTCACGTTAATTTTAAGCAATCAGCTCTCTAAATGTGGGGCCTAAATATGAGAGAGAACACACATCCGAGTCAGAGTTTGAAGGGATGTCCATACAACCGAAACGACAAAAAGAGGGCCTAAACTCTCACTAATTAAAGAAAAGAAAACTAGTAGATGTTAATCTGAAGGTTTTATTATCACATATTTGCCCCCTGAGTCAGGTTTTGTTAGGAAAAGGGTATTAAGTTTGTATAAAATAACAAATTTGCCTTAACTTTTATATGTATTATTAAATTTTGGTATATTGACTTTACTATGAGCCCACCCACATATCTTCAGATCCTTCAATGAAACCCTTTGTTTTCAATTTTAGTTTATTGTTTCCAAAGGACTTAGATATTTTTGGTCAAAACATGATATCCCTTTCAAGTCTGTGGTTTATGGTGATTGTTTCATCTCCAAGTTACGGATGCTTCATAAATGTCAATAAACAACATGTTTTAATTAGTGCATAATAGGGTTGAAAAGCATCAGGACAAAAATAAAGTATATGATGAAGATATGTGAGTAGCTCCATACAAAAATGAATTTTAACCAAAATTAACAACAAATTTAAAAGAAAAGGGCATATTTGTAATTTTGACCCAAGGCTAAAAGTGAAAATAAGTCCTTAGGAGGACGAAAACATTAGAAATGAAAAACTGCAGGGTGTCCAAAAAAATTATGAGACCCATAGGGACCAAAGAACAAGTTCGATGGTATATTGAGTACAAACATAAAGTAAAGAGATGAAATGAGAACGAACTCAACAGTTGGTTACCCTCCTGAGTCATTTTTCCTGAAAATTTAAATGAAATTAAAGTTGCAAAATTATCAAAGATTGCAACCTTCTTTGGCTATAACGTATATGAAGAGCGTTTCAAAGGGATAACCTTGTTAAAACATGGTCTACGTTATGCTTATTGTGGTTAGTTATCAACACCTCTCTGCAAAAGGATATGACTGTGTATGAGAGGTATATTTGTCAGTATAAACGTTTATCTCAAGGTATATTATGGTGATGTATCTACAAAAGCAGCATGATATTGTACATATTGATGTTGTATCTTATCCAATGAATTCGATCTTAAAGCTAAGTAAACTAAAAAATCACAACACTTGTGATTCCACTCGTTTGTAGACTTGTTTAGAATCCATGATACGATAAATCATTTGATTGGAAATGTAAATGTAGTCATGAAATGCGTCTGCTTAGTCAAGATTTTCCTAATAAATATTCAAGTGCATTACAAAGTTGTACATGTATGAATAATGTTCTTTCGTGGGTTATGTTTTGAAGAGAAGTAAGAATGAATCTCATAAAGTCATTAATATCAGTCGGGGATGACGTGGGATTTGCTGTAAATGAGTAAAAGGAATATGAATCAAGAGGGTAACCAACTTTTGCATTTGTTCTCATTTGATCCCTTTCCTTTTTTTGTACTCAATATACCATCGAGTTTGTTGTTTGTGTTCACCATAACCCTTTGACCGGCTATCACAGGTCAAAAGCCTGTCAAAAGGGTTTTGGTGAACGCAAACAACAAGTTCGATGGTATATTGAATACAAAAAAAAAAAAAAAAAAAAAAACGGACCAAATGAGTACAAATGCAAAAGTTAATTACCCTCAAGAGTCATTTTCCCAAAATGTAATCTACACCAATTTAAATAAATAAAAATTTCATCAACAAGTATTGGAAAAGAACTTGCAACTTGAAGACCTCCACATTTAAATAAAATGCAATGCAATTATCACGAACTTTCGTATGAATTAGACATCCGAATACCAACGAATTCTTGTGTATTATAAATCAGTCTTTCTCAACATCTACATTATTGACACAACAGATCATTGAAAGCTTCGTTCCATTGTGTAACACCGTAAATTTTCAAAACAAATTTTCACTTTTAAAATTTATAATTCCATTCATAAATTTTCTCAAATCCAAATGTATCACATATCAAATTCAAAAAAACACATCCCAAGATCAAAATGTATAAAAACTCCAATAGTGTGTATTGATCATGTCGGCGCCTTCCTGGGATCCTCACTAGTACCTGAAACACATAACACAAAACACTGTAAGCATAAATACTTAGTGAGTTCCCCAAAATACCACATAGAACACATAATAACCACTCGAGGCTATAACTCTGTGAGCCCTCTAGCTCTAACTCTGTGGACCCTCTAGTCCTAACTCTTTGGACCTTTCGGTCCTAACTCTGTAAACTCTGATATACACACAACATAAATCACATAGCAATAATGTTGTGCAACACATCACATAAATAACATACAAGATACTCTATCACATAACTCTAATTACCACTCAAGGTAAAGTATAGTGAGAAGACTCACCTCGGATAACTCGGTAAACCTCGAACTCTGAAAAATTGCACTAGCCTCCGCCTAATCAAATAATAATTACTCTAATTAATACAACTTTTAAAGGCTAGGCTAACTCCTCTCTATAAGTTCTCTAAGAAGGGTAAAAGGTCATTCTACCCCTCTAATGGCTCATAAGTCCAAACATTGACTAAACCCTAAAATTCAATGAACTTAGCTCCGGTCAACGGTCAAACTTTGACCAGACTCGTCGAGTGCACTCGGGCGACTCGGCGAGTCCACACTGGTCCTCGGAATTCTTCTAAGCCTCGCTTGGCATAACGAGTTCCCTCTCCACTCGTCAGGTTACTCAGCAACGAATCGTGGGGCAACCCCGACTCGACTCGTCGAATCCACTTATGACCTCGGCGAGTTGCTCCTTTTACAACACCCAAAATGACCTTCTGAGGTCAGATCTGCTTCTATAACCTATAGATCTGACTTCCTCATGACCAATAACAAGGTAAAGATCGAATATTGGTATACATGCAAGGCACTCTAGGCTTATTTTGGTGAAATCCCTTCTAACATGGCAACCTATGTCCCTTACCTCGTTAGAACCACAAAAGGCAAGGTGGTTCAGGCTCCTTGGACCTCAAAAGGTCCGGATCCAGAGTTTATTACTTAATGGGAAACTAAATCTCAACCACATAAGCCATAAAAGATATAGAAAACCCTAAGTTCAATGCTCTTAAGCAAAAACAGAAGAATAAGATTGAATAGCTACCTCAAAATGAAGATCCAAGCTGAAAACCTCCTGAAATGAAGTCCTCTTGCCCATTTCTTGCTGGAAACCCTTCCTCCTTGGCTAAATCACACCAAAAACGAACAAAGAAGCTCAAACTCTCTCACAACACGCTCAAAATCGCTAGGGTACCTCTCTCTGGACTGGTAGCCGCAAATGGAGGCTATAAAGTCCTTTGAATAGGGCTCAGTCCTAAGGATTTAGGGTTTCAGTCATCAACACGGACTCGTCGAGTCCACCCTTACCCACTTGTCGAGTCCCCTCGTTTATCAGACAACAAATCGCGATCCTACTCGACGAGTCTAGGTGTCAACTCGTCGAGTCCATCTCTTAAACCCTAATTTACTGTCGTTAATACCTGGAAATCTAGATGTTACACATTGTTTTCAACATCTAAAAGAAAAACACCAAAAAGTTTCTCAAAAAGAAACAAGAAAGAAGATGAGCCAAAAGATGTAAGATACATTTGCCTTGATATTAACCTCTTTCATCATAGAAATATCAAATCTTGAAAATAGGTTTCATTTTTTAGATGCTCTACATAATTTACTACCGTTCATGGAGTTTTCGTAACAATTTGCAGGTTCAACAGTGAAGTCGAAGTTGGCAAGTTTCTTGGCAGCATAACTGTCGTTCAAGATGCTTATGGAGCAATTTCTCAAACTTCTTCCACTTATCAACTTCACACGAGTCCTTCTGGGATCAAAGTTTTGGCTTTCAACTGTTTTTCTGATTATACGCTTCGTTTTCGTAATGGAGAAGATCTGGTTTCATCAGATAAGCATAAAGTCGTTGACTTCGTTTCGACAAACGTCAACCCCAAATTATCCATTAACAAAGTTGTTGTAGAGTTGTTTGAGCTTCCTTTTAAAGAGCTTTCCGAGCTCTCAAATCAGGTATATCTTTACTTTAGCAGATTCAAAACTCAAGATCAGATGTAGCATCTGTTCTTAATGGTTTAAATCTGTTTTTTTTCACCTTATAAATAGTCCGTTGGTTGTCACTGGATGTGATCTAGGTGGATACCTCGCCATTCTTAACACCCTACTACATCAACATTACACAGATTTTGAAGAATCTAACGGTTCAAAAATTGTCAAACGTCCGATTTGCATAACATTTGGTTTGCCCCTTATCAGTAACCAACATCTCCAAGGCGCCATCTCTGAACTCCCACAATGGAAATCGTCTTTCCTGAATGTGGTCGCGAAGCCAGATCTTCTTATTAGTTTTTTCTCATCGACTAGTCAATACATGTCTTTCGACACTTTCCTTTTCTGCGCAAAATCAGGTGGGCATACAGCTTTTGAAGATCAAGATATGATCTTGGCATTTCTAGATGGTATGGTGTCATCAAATGCTTGAAACTACCAAACACACGATTATAGTAAAGAACTTGTTTCGATTAGAAAGAAAATATTGTATCGCAGGCCTTCCAATTTTAGTGAATCTCACTTGAGTCCATTAAGGTTCTGGATTCTTTTCCAGTTTCAAGAAATTGGTATGTTGAACAATATTTCGAACGATTTTATCGAGAAAATCGAAAAGAAACAAGTGAAGATGATCAAAATCAAGAATGTATATGAGCCCGCAAGAAAGCTAAACGACACCAAGATAAACTTAATGTCTTGTAAGTATTTAGGGCAGCTTCATTTCCAGTGCCCCTTTTCATGACAATACAAGCACTCTACTTCCTTTGGATTGGATGAGGGAGAAGCAGAACCACCTTTGGACCCACTAGAAGAGGATCCATCGTGAGACTTTCCCTTGTGATTCTTTAAATGAGCTTTCCTTTTCTTCCCTTTCCCATGTCCAATTGCCAGGACTGGGGCAGCAGTAGGTGTGGATACAACAAACTTTCCTTTTAAACTACTTACAACAGTTATTAGTAGGCCTCGAAGCTTGCTTAGAGTGACTTCCTCCTTGTTCATATGATAAGTCATCATGAACTAATCATAACAATGAGGCAAGGAGTGTAGGATAATGTCAATAGCCAACTCTTTGCTGAAATTGAAATTCAACTTTAGAAAGCGGTCCACATATCTTTGTATCTTTTTCAAGTGGGTCGTGATGGACTCTCCATCCTTCATTTTTGTTGTTATCATGGAGGCAATGATTTCATACCTTTCTTGTCGAGCACTCTGATGGTACGTTTCCATCAAGTCTTGGTGCATCTCGAAAGGCCAGAAGTCCTCGTAGGACTTCTGAAGCTCAAAAGTCATAGTGGCTAACATGATGCACGACACCTTTTCCGCGTCCTTCTTATGAGCCCTATAGTCAACCAGTTGCTCAGGATTAGCAACTTCTTCATCAATCTCTTTTTATCTCTTTGTTGAGGATATATTCCTTTTCCTCGTATCGAATGGCCATGCGAATGTTTTGAATCCAGTCAATGAAATTCGACCAATCGAAAATGACCCTCCCACATAAGTTCATGAGGGAAAAAGAGCCAAAAGCATTTGAGTTTGAAGCGTTGTTTGAGGTAGACATCTAAAAAGGAAGAAAAAGTTTTATTAGATAGAAATTCCTTAATATAACACCCAAATGACATATTAAGGCTAAGGCCCAAACACAATATTTCACAATTCGGAAGAGGGATGCCATAATCCAATTGCAAAATATTTGAAGGCAAGTAAATGATGATTTACCAATTTCACCACCCAAAACTAATTTTTTAAAGAATTAAGTTTTATGAAATTCCTAATTCTTTGTGATTCATTGAACTTTTTCAATGGCATGTTTAAATCTCAATTATGCCCTTCAAGTTTGTGACTGGAATACCGAGAATTACAAACAATGTGTGAATAACCATGAAAATTATCTTGGTACTCTCGAGTTATTTACCACCTAATCAATATGCCGGTTAACCACACACGCTCCATTGATCCATGAACATTCACAAGCTACCCTTCGCCACCCTTGTTAGTCCAAGTTAGTGTGTCGGGTAACTGTAACAGCCCAGAATTCCAGGTATTGCTTTAATATTATTTTTGGGGCATTTTAGGAAGGGTCTCGGCGAGTTGGCGCAAGACTCGCCGAGTAGGACCACAGACTTGGTCGCGGGTTCGCGACTGGACTCGACGAGTCCAGATATGGACTCGGCGAGTCTACGCTGTTCAGCAGAAACCCTAGCTGTTTGGTTTTGGATAGTATATAACGCCCTATATGCCGTTATTGTCCGTCTTTTAGCCGATTGAGAAGAACCCTAAGCGTCTGTGGACATCTAGAGCAAGATTGGAGGCTATTGGAACTTTGAAGAAATTGTTTGGCAAGAAGGAGAGGAGTTTTGGCTAAAGGAACAGCAAGGGACTCGAGCCCTGAAGTTTGGGGACACAGAGAGTGCGTTTTTCAGGTAATACTTCGGATCATTTCTGTTATTTTGATGTGTGCACGGATTTAGGGTTTATGAAACCCATTTGGTGATTAGATGGATTATTACCTTGTTACCCAAACGTTTATAGCCCTGTAATAGGATGTTTAGAGGTCCAGAAGGTCCCATGCTTGTGTATTTCAGGACCATACGTATTTCAGGAAGCAGTTTGATCGACTGCATGGCATGGACTCGCCGAGTCCAATGAACAGACTCGGCGAGTAGCTTGAAGATTGACTGGGACTCGTCGAGTTGTTCTTCAGACTCGGCGAGTGGAGTCGGGGTGGCCCCGCGATTCTTCCACGAGGATCTCGTCGAGCCAAGAGGGATACTCGACGAGTAGAAAGGGAACATCAGGGAAAGTTGGGGAGGACGTCTTGACTCGCCGAGTCGCCTTTGCACTCGACGAGTCCGGTTAAGTTGACCGTTGACCGTTGACCGTTGACCAGAGTTGACCTGCATGTAATTTCTTAGGGCCAGTTGTCTTGAATGATAAGAGTATTAATAAGGGTATATGGTATTATAGGGAGTCTGCAGATCGGCGGATCGAGTGCGAGTGATTTCAAGAGTTGATAGTTTTCATTACCACGAGGTGAGTCTTCTCACTATACTGTACCCGGAAGGGTTTGACTGTGAGACCGGAAGGTCGGATATGATATGTGTTATATATGTTATAAATAGAAAGGTATTTGTTATGCGTGCTATGTATGTCTATATGGGCCGGAAGGCATAATGTTATGTGACCGGAAGGTCAGGTATGATATATGATATATGTGTTATATGTGTTAAAGTAAATGTATTATGTGCTGTATATGTTTATGGGCCGGAAGGCAATATGTTATGGGCCGGAAGGCAATATGTTACGGGCCGGAAGGCAATACGTTATGGGCCGGAAGGCGATTATGTACGGGCCGGAAGGCAATGTGTTGTGGACCGGAAGGTCAGGGCCTGGAAAGGCGTATATGTGTAAGTCGTATACTGGGGAACTCACTAAGCATTTATGCTTACAAGTTGTTATGTATGTGTTTCAGGTACTAGCGAGGACCGTGGGAAGGCGCCGGCGTGATGCATACACACTGCTGTTATTTGAGATCTTGGGAATTTTATAAATGTATTTTGATATGAAACTTGGAATAAATATAATTAGTTGAATGAGATCACTTTATTTTAAATGAAAATTTTATTTGAAAATTTGCGTTGTTACAATTGGTATCAGAGCCTTGGTTTGAGGGATTCGGGTGTACCTTCGGGTGTAACTGAACTCAAACCGAGGATTTGAGGAAAAATCTTTTAAAAATAATAAAGACATAAATTTTTATAAATGGTAAAGTGGTAAACAAGAACGGAGCAGTGTGTACGATCAGCCAGCGCCCGAACGGTAAAGATCCCCAGAATACCTTACAATGTTATGTTATGCACTGAATTATGAATTGTTATGCATGCTAGAAGACTAGGTATTCATGATAGGACTAGAATGGCCTGTTTTGTGATGCCTTAGTCTAGGGAGTTTGCTTATATGAGATATTCGATAGCGTGCAGGTAGATAGTGATGGGTTTTAGCCATAAGAACTTTCCTATGTGCGCATGCAAAACCCTAATGCTTGGATCTAGGCTTTCTAATAAACATGCTTTTGAAAACCAAGACTTCAAATAGCTACTTAGGTCAAATAACAAAATTGAAACAGATCTAGAATCATACCTTTGAATCCCTTGTTGATCTTGTTTGTCTTGGAGCTTCTAGAGTCACAATTGTCACTCCTCTAATGGCTTACAAACACCAATAGCAAGCAAGATGATTTAGGAGAGAGGAGAGGGGAGGAATTCGGCCAGAGTATCCTTGCTTAAGGTTGTGTGTCGAATTCCCTCACCCATAGGGTCTATTTATACTTGTAGACTCCTTAAGGGTTTCACCCTAAACCCTAATTGGATAATCTTCTCTTAAGGCTATCCAAATCCATTCCATAGATAACCATATGGACGATTTGAGCTATCCTAAAGCTCTTAGAATCCGTCCAAGGTCTATCTTAATGGATTTACAGTCTAAAGTTTAACTATCAAACAATTGACAGTTTATACCCTCTTATTTAATTAATCTCTTTAAGTCACCAAATTAATACCAATTAATTTATGACTTATATTAATCAAATAGCTAAATATTATTTCTTATAATATTTACTCTCTCTTAACAAATCATCCTTCAAGTTGCTATGGTGAAGGCAACCCAAAAGGACCATGCACAACCGAATATAGTTATAGCCTTAGACACTATTCCAACAGTCTCCCACTTGGATAAGTCTAGTAACTATACAAGTACAATTCGGTTTGCAATCGTAGCTCTCAAAGACGCTGCCAACTCTGATCTAATCAATCTTGTCCTTTAGATAAGGGATCATACAGTCCTCTGTTAGATATCATGCTGACAATCCTATGGAATGGTTAGTCAAGCATTTAGATTTCTCGATCTCCGATTTATTTGACATAGAACTTAATCGAACACATCAATTCAGTTCTGACCGGGCCCGGCACATAAGTCAAATCAAATCATCGAGTGGCCAAGATATCTCTTCTACCCTCTTAGGATAAAATTTACAGATAAACTTCGACTTATATGCATTTACTTATTCATTAACCAACTATACACAACAATGCGTTTTATAACATCAAGTTACTGATGCGTTTTCGCATTATCAATGCACAATCAATCAACAAATAATAAACCATATATCTAGGTTTTAAGACCATATGATATTATCGTCTTGCGATCACCTTTTATATCGTATTCCATAAGGTGATTCCAGCAAGCGCGGGTTTATTCCAATGCTCAAAACTAGTTCATAAGCACTCATGAACGTTGCAGCAACCCTTGCTATGTCTAACACCATTTAGACATTCTACACACCAATTCATGACAATCTTCATTCATATCTACTCCCAACATATGAACGATTGTGGACCATTTGAATAATTCGATTATTCCTAATAAATTCAATTATTC